GAGAGAGAGAGAGAGAGAGAGAGAGAGAGAGAGAGAGAGAGAGAGAGGGAAGCCCTTCGGGGTTATCGAATGAGCAGGCGGAGATGAGTGACGACGAATACTATGACTGACTGACTTGTTTTCAACGATCAAAACAAGTGTTAAATTCAAGTTTGATTATGTTCACTAAATCCCTAAATTAAATATGTTTGTGATTAGGTATTTAACTTATCAAGATTAAATACCTAATCGCAAACAGATTTAATTTAGGGATTTAAGACCTGCTGGCTAGGTATAAAAGACCTGCTGACTTGGAACACAGCGTGCTATCTAAAGCTCATATGGTTACTCTTTTTCCAATCGGACTCAGTTTGGGTGGCTTGGTATAGAAGTGAAGTCTTGGGAGGATGTTTAAACAATTTCTGGATAGCAAAGACTCACCCTAAAAACTCCTGGCTAGCAAACAAGTTTATTAAAATGAGGGATAAAGTGTTTATATGGATAAAAGTGCGTGTGGGTAATGGACGTTTGTGCCGATTTTGGACAGAAAACTGGTCTCCGTTTGGGTTGATGGAGACATACTTATTAGGTGCCTCTCAGTCTAGACTTGGAATCCCTCTCACTGCTACTCTAGCAGATCTAAATGTTGAGGGAAATTGGTCACTTCCTCCTGCAAGATCAGACAAACTGTTACAAGTTCAGATTTTTTTGACCACCCTTACACTTGGGGAAAATGAATGATTGTTATGAATGGAGAGTTTATGACAAGGCTACTACTTGGTACAATACTAGTGCTGTCTATAAAAAACTAAGAGGAGAGGAGCAACTAGTACCATGGGCAAAAGTGATCTGGAACAAAGGGGGAATTCCTCGTCACAGCTTCTTGACTTAGCTCTTTACATTGAATAGATGTCCCAGTCGCGACAGATTATTAAGATGGGGACTACAAACTGCCTCTACTTGCCTCCTCTGTGCTGTGGCGAATAAGACTAGGGATCACCTCCTCTTTGATTGTCCATTCTCATGGATTCTTTGGTCAAGAGTTGCTACTAGATGTGGAGTGCAGCCGAGCCGAAACTGGAGTGAATGTCTTCATGCTCTGCAAAATCACCAAGGAGATAGAGTGAGACAACAAGTTACTCTACTGGGATGGAAAGCTACTACTTACTGGATTTGGAATGAGAGGAATAACAGACTACATCGTAACATGTTTCGATCAACTGATGTGATCTACAAGCTACTGGATAGGCAGATAAAGGACAAGATTCTCTCCTTCAGATTCTCATTGCCGATGAATTCGTCCAGACTCATGCAAATCTGGATTTGATCAACCTTCGTCCGCCGATTTACTTCTCTCCTTCGATACATCACTACACCAACAGAGTTGGGATTCTGGTTCTTATGATCTTTTATTATGGGTTGTTTCTAATTGTTAATGGGCTGGCAGACTATCGCCTTTGGGCTTGAAACTTTTTTATTTCTTTTCGCAATTTTAATATGAAAATCTTTGGTAAAAAAAATAACTTATCAAGATTAAATAAAAAATTAATAACATCATCGTGTCTCTACCAATTATCCTACTATCTAGATTTCAGATTGTCAATCCAAATCAATCATTAAAACAATCATGATGGAGAATTCTGTATGACCCTATCAATTTTATCAACTTAGACACTCATCATAAACCCTAGAAAACCCTAATATAAAAAATTGATCTGTTCAGACATAATCAATGAAAAAAAAATCATCTATCTTCCTAATATATAACTTAAATATATCAAAACACGAATTTAAAAATGACTTACAAAATTTTTGTTATCTCTCCAAATCTAAAGTAAAGTGTTGCCTAAACAATATTAAATTATATATCTTGCGTCAAAATATGAGTTTCATTCATGTGGTAAGATCAAGTGTGGTGTCGACCGACACCATGTTTAGAAGTAAAGTTTTGAGTTGATATTTTTAGGTTCGTGATTTTTTAGGCTCTGAATTGCTCAAAAACCTTCATTGTTGAAAATATATACAAAAACTCTAAATAGGAATTATATCTGGTCAAACCCCATAAAACCATAACATATCAACTCCACTAGACATATCAACTCCACTAGAAAAAACAAAGAACAAAACCGTGAACGAGGTTTGAAGACATAAGAACTCACTTAATCCAAAGATCTTGAAGACATGACGAGTTTGGAAACGTATAAGTTCAAAGGAGGAATCAACATGTTTGAGACGGACAGTGGGTGCACACAGAGACATAATATGAAGCAATGATGTGTCCATACAAATAGAGGAAGAGAGTAGTGGTTTACTATCTACAAGGAGATGCTCGTAAGTTGTGGGAAAGTACGGAATATCAACATGGAAATCATATTACATTCGGAAGGAGTTCAAAGGGAAACACTTTCCACCTGAGGCAAGGCATCGAATGGAGATATAGGACAGTACAAGAGTATGAAGCTGAATACACAAGACTTCGTCGCTCTGTATTTAACGGTTAGGAAGACGAAACAACCATGATCCAAAATTTCATGTATGGATTACGACATGAACTAGGTAGCAGACTCGCGGCAGGTAACTTTGGAAATCTCAAAGACTTGGTCAAGAAGGCAGTCAGTGTGGAAGTCGCGGTAGCAGCAGAAGCAGCGTATGAATCCAAAGGAAATAATAATGGCCAGAAAAAAAAAACAAATAATTGACTCAAAGGCATCTAACTAATCAAGGCCTAACCAGGAAAAGAGGCCATGACTCAAAATCTCGGAAGAAAACCAAGAATGGTTTACTTTTAGAAAGGTTGGTCACATTGCTCGACACTGCATTGCAAATTAAGCTGCATTAACCAAAGAACACTCCCCACTAGCCTTGCTGGACGACGGACCCCAAGAAAGAGAAAGTATAGGTAATCTAGATATTTAGGAACACCTGAAACTTCAGGCCTACAAGGTAAGTAATTAAGGGTTCTAACTTTCTCGTTTGAATACTTATTGCAGGATTGGTTATGCTATGGTAGAATATTGGTTTTAATTTTTATGTGTTATCGCACGAGAAGTTGTGGTTAGTGCTCTTGTTGTGTGTAGGAACATTTTGGCACGTAATGACACGCTTGAAGATTGAAAGTTGGGATCAGTAGTGTTCTGATTGTTGGCTAGAAAAGGACCTCTTGAGCGGATCTATGGATGACACATTTGGAAACATTGGGAGCTATGTTTTTGGGTACATGTTTGGTTTTGGGATGGCAGGTAAAGCCATCTTGATGAGGTACTGAACCCAGATAGCGTAAGGATGGGCCTAAGAATGAGTTGGCAAAGGAGATATCTATCAAAAAAGACATGATAGATATATAAGAATTGATTATCAGAAGAAATCGAGATTAAATAAGTGGCTAAGTACAAATGTGGTATCTATTGTTATGACAAGATAAAACTTTCACCAATAATTTAAAAGTCATAACTAATTTTTTAAGGGGGGGGAGAGAATGTAATGACCCTTTCTTAGGGTAGATTTTGATCGAGAAAACCCAAACTTCTAGATTAGGTAAAGCTTGGTTGGGATGGTGTGCATGGATCAGATGAAGATGTCTGGCCGAGAAAGAATTCAGAGGGTTCAGGTAATTTGCGGTTTGGTCGAGAGGTCTATATTGGAGGTCAACGAGGAGCGAGGCGAATTTTCGTATTTGAAGGATATGTTAGAAACATGGTTTAGATTACTTAAGAAGGTCAGGAGAAAACATTTGGTCAATATAAAACCAAGATGGCTCAAGAGAAAATAGAAGTTGGTCGAGCATCTACATTTGGTGACCGAGTCGCGAGCGATCAGGTCGATCGACGAGCTTGTGCAAGAACATATAGGTTGGCGTAAAGATAAATAGAGGAAACCCTAGTTTATAGCCGTCAATCTTTATAGTAAAGTCTGAATGCCCTCTCTTGGTCTTTTTTATCTCTTTTATACATAAACCTTCTCCTCTTTCTTTTCCTAAGTCGGTTAGACCTAATGAGATGGGCCGAAGTTCGTAGGCCAGGTCTTCAGACCAGACTTCTCATCCGGAATCGATTCTGGTCAATCAATCTTTTAATTTAATGGGATCCCGGTTTACTGCGAGAAGCAGAATTGTTACTCCTAAAAAATGAGAAACAAGATGGCGTCCTAGCCCCTATAGGCATAATGATTATGCCACCTTTCGTATTCGCACTTCTCTAGTATAAATAGGTGATCTCACCTTATTTCTTCACTTCTCTTCGTGTTGAAATATACTCTCCATATCGCTTCTCTGTTTTCAGTTTTATGTGAACTAGATTTTGACTCGCGTTTTGAAAGCGCGGGAATTGTTTTTTCGTTAATTTAACATATATATTACTATTTAGATTTTATATATTATTTATGATATATTTTCCAAAATATGTTTTATATATTTAATTTGAAATTGAGAAAAAGTTTCTATATCTAACCGGGTCACCAATTCTAATAGTTTTGACAGATTTTACTATTTAATTCAAATTCAGTTTTAGTATAATCTACACTGGACAGAAGAGAGTATCACGGTTAAATCGGTATGACACTACACTGACAACATCACCAAATAGTTTAATAGTCTATATCTACACACATTAAATAAATTAAAAAGACAAAGGTAAATTAAGATACATATATACCTTACGATTTGTTAAGTATGCATATATTAAATTCCAAGTCTTATAAAATCTATGGTTTAAATCTATATTAAAAGTATAGTATGATTTGGAACATGTTGTAATAAATAGGAAAAAAGAATTTATTATCTTAACCAAGTCAAAAATAAATAATAAGTAATGTTTATAATTTCAAAATTTTCGATTTTGTCGGTTCAAAACTTGTATACATTATTAATATGGGTAAGTTAGTCAATGGTAAAAAAAAAACACTTTACTATAGGTTTCTATATCATTATTATCTCTTCTTATTAAATACAAACCCAATAGTAACATATCCATATTAAAAAGATAGTTTCAAGTCCAACCCAACTTTTTATTTTCATCGAAATAGTTTCGTGCCTTTTTTCTCTGTTTAAAACAACTCAATTATAACAACAGAAAAAAGAACCTTATAATTAATAGTGATTGAAGACATTGGGTGGTGTACCATGAAAAAACTCATCTGCAGATCCACCGTAAAGCTTATTTCCGAATGTGATTCATCGTTCATACTAAAGTTTAAGTCAAGGAATTACCTATTCATGCCCGTTGGGTTAAAAGGATTCCGACCTGATGTAAACCTTTCCGATCTGAGGCATCCATGGTAAGTTTTCGTTAAATTTCCATATTTATTAATTTGATCAGTTACCATAGATTTGATAAGAAACAAAACTAAATTTTTTTTATTGAATTCAAATAAAAGAAAGGAAAACATAGCATTGCAAAGAAAAAATTAAAAAACCATTAAAGAAGCAGAAAACAAAAACATAAAATAAAAATTCCAAACACAACACCGAACATAAAACCTCCGAAGTAATGAAACAAATTAGCCACTTTTCTTATCTATGCACTTCTTCTTCCTGGCCGATATAGTAGAAACCTAGTGAAATGACTTGATTCTCTTCCACAATATCTTTTAGATTCCAAAATTTAATTGCATTTTATTTTTCAACTTCATCATAAGAAATACCAAAACTGTAAGTTTTGCCAATGATATCCACAAATTCAGGTGGTAAAATTTGGTTCTTCGACCTGTTAACAGTAGTAAGAATTGTTATGCACCAGCTAGTTAGTCACAATTCAAAATCCTTATTAAATCTTTAGTTTTGACAAAAAACAATCAATCACCTCATACGGTTGTAACAGCAGATGTTTTCACAAGAAAGGTTGCCACTGTGTCTTGAAGGGTGAATTTCGACTCACCAGGCTGATCCTGCACAAGCAATTCCAACTTCTATCTTAAAAAAATAACAAACTTTTATGCATAAAGTTCGGACGATAACATAAGTAAATATTAAGAATAGGTTTTTAGAAAAAAAAAACCCTGGAGAAACCTTTCTAACAATACGCTGACAAAATTCACACTACCAGTTTGGCACATATGTTTCTTCAAATGTCACAGTCATTTTGAAAACCTGGTTGTTGCATACCACACATGAAAACTAATACCATCCAATGATAGTATCAATAGCATATACCTTGCAAATCACTCTGCAATTTCCATCATACAGTAAAAATAAACTATGTGTGAAATGTAGATACAAAATCAATACAATTACTTTTATAAAAATAGCAAATAACCTTATCCGCGCGTTTCATTTCTTGAATGGTTCGGAATGGATACTGCGACCCTTTTTGTCGCTTTTCCTGGATCAGAATCTGGTCCTTTATAGGTTGGTTCAGTATCATGTCCATATTAGGTTGGTACATACCAAGAGAGTAATCACCACCATGGAACCTATATGAAAGAAAAAAATGTATATAACAATCTACTAATACATAAAAAAAAACTATAATCCTATAATATGATGTTATTACATTTGTTTCAGTTCATGAGCTTCCTTGATATCTGGGTTAATCAACACGAGAGAATAATCAAAAGCATTTGAGATTTGCAATTCTCTTGAAAAACACAACAAAAAGGGTAAATATATAAAAAAGCACACCGTGTAAAGGATGTTCTAAATTTAAACACTTCTCAGTACTATACAATACCTTTGTAGTTTCCGAGTTTGGAAAATCTTATTAAACAAATATCTTCTTTGTTTGGTGTTTTGACTTCTTGTGTCCAATTTTCAGCTAATTTCCCCCGAATACAGCATTTGATACGTTGGTCCCTGATATAGTAGTAGTATTGATAGTACATTAGTATTTCAATTATTAGTGAAAATCAATACTATTAAACAAACTTACTTTATGTCTCTTAGAGTAAACTTAGCTTTGGTCACTTCTTTTCTTGCACATTGAACAATATCCAACCCACCAAAGCCTAAAACTTCACCAATAACATCTGTTAGGCAAAAAATTTAAGTTAAATGAAGGTCCAAATAAATATAAAATTAAAAACCACTTTTTGCAATAATAAGAATTTACCAATAAGAAAACATGTGTTAAGTGAACCACTTATAATATTTGAAAAGTCTTGGAGCTCGAGAAACATGTTTTCGAATTGAAGCTAAGAATCTGTGATTGAAGTTAGACTCATGAATTCCATCTTGTAAACATGGTTGGTGGGTCTGTAAAGACCAGCTGCTGGTGTTAAGATAAAGTTAGTAATAATTTTCCATTCACCAACACCAAAATGTCTCTCGAGTTGTTGCAAGAGTGATTCTTTGCAAGTGGCGTGGATTTTGACACCCTAAAAATTGTAAAAAAAAAGATTTAAATTTCATGTACACAACATATAAAAAGACGATTAATAGTATGTATGGCTTACATTTTCTTCTGTTAACACCATCTGAAGGGAAGAATCTAATTGAGGATCGGATGACTTCCAGGTATGTAAGACTTTGACATGAACTCTCCATGAAGATTTGAAAGGCTTAAGATTAGTTAGGTTGCTGAATTTGATAATGGAACCCATGAGAGAAGATAACGATAGAGAGTTCAGTTTTGTGGATTTAGGTTGGTAAAATTTGTTGGGTTTGCTCTCTGTATTTATATACATCTTATAGGAGATCAATAATTAAGATAACATCAGAAATCTAAATCGTTTACAATGAGGTATATTCCAGGGAACAACCAATATATTCGAGGTCTATGAAGATAATTCAAATGGAATTCATGGTTCTCGACGATATAGTTGTTAAATATATATAGGATATCAGAATATTGTTGTGATTTTTTACCAGTGTGAGTTTATATGTAAATTTGTTAGAGCTGTTACAATATATACTTGTATTCGTTAATGGTGTTGGGAAATTTTATCTAACTCTGAATTTGAGGAGGTGTTATGTAATACAAATCGAAAGATGGAGGTTGTATGTTGGAAGCGAAATAATATGTTTGGCCTTGTACCACGAAATACCACATTTCCATGTATTTGAATACTATAGTTTTGACATTTATTTGATATTGATCCTTTCCAACAACGTAAACTTAATATAGTTAAACATATGACACCTGAAACAACATTAAGTATGGTGTAAACACAAAATTTGCAGATATATATAATGAATATATCTAATAATTGATTACAAACTATGGAACATATGAAATACCTGTTTTATTTTGTATTGGTTATTATAAATATCACAATTTTTTTTTACATTACAAATTACACGTAATAATAAAAAAAAATATATGAAAATCTGAAAAATATTCATATATCCAAAATATATGATAAAAATGGCGATTGTGATATTTTCCAAGATCTTCTGATCTAGGATGCTCTTTTTGCTAATAATTCGGGATCTCCACTTCTGTGATTATGGGTTTCTTCGTATTGTGGTTTTAAACGGAGGAGATTTGGTTTCCGATTGGGCTTTGATGATTAAAAGGGATCTGATGGATTGGAGGAATATTAATGGAGATTTGCTGATACAAGAAATTTCGGAATCGGTTGATTCGATGAAGGTACTATGTATCTTTTCTATAAAAAGTTTCGATTTTTCTTATGTGCTGAGATCGTTGGGAGATCTGTGGGTTGTCTTTATACGTATGATTGAGATATATCATGGGTTTTTTGAGGAAAGTAAAGGTTTTTTTGGATTTTGGAGTATCTCAAATTTCTCAGGGATGGAAAGGCAGTATTGTGATTGGAAGAAAGATCTCCCAACGATCATGTCTTTTTTATTTTCATGTCTGATGGCTGAGGATTCGCCTTTTTTACTTAATAAGACTGCTATGTTGAGGCTTTATATGATTGGTGCACTGAGAATAGGTTATTATCTAAATAGTTCCTACTATTATGTTCTACGGAATTCAAAAGTATTGAGGTATGGGGTGTCCTTTTGTATGATTAGAAAACAGGGTCTCGGCTTTGGTGTCTTCGGTTATGTTAGCTTTTACATAATCTGTAATAATTCACACTGGTTGAGTGGTTTTGAAGTGGTATGGGGCAGGAATGAGGTGGACTCTTATGATGCCTTATCATGGTTACTTGGTTTAACAGTGAAAGGGATTCACATAATAATAAGAGTGAATCCAGGTTATACTTGTGATTGTTACAATTGTATGGTTTCTTTTTCCATTTGTGTTTTTTTTCTTTGATGGGCAGGTTTCATCATTCATGCATGCAGTAAAGATCCAAGAAAGAAAATGGTTTTCCTTGGTTAATTATAATGTAAGCCGGCTTAGTGGTTTCGAATTCAATGGTATCTTAATCGGACTAAGATTATTGATCTTCAAAAATGAGCCTTGTAGCATATATATGTTTTTTGTACGACAATTCTCTTTGGTTGAGCTGATGTGGACTGAGATCTGTTTTGTGAGAGGGTTACATCGGTTTCAATATTGTGATCATGGTGCTGGCTGGAAATTATTTTTTGTTACTTCGGTTAGGTCGGACTCTTGTACCAAGGGTTGGCCGATTCGGAATTTAAAATGTGATTATGGGTTATTAGCATTTGCTTTCGGTACTGGTTTCATTCTCTCTTATGGGACAAGAAATTTTTTTGTTAATTACACCAGATATCATAAAAGAAAAGCTTAAGAGAAAACAGAGGTGTGGATACACAGGTTTTGTTTTGACTTCAATATTTGATAATGGTTTAAATGATAAAATTAGGACAAGAAATTTGTTTGTTAATTTGAGTACACCAGATTTCATAAAAGAAAAGCTTAAGAGAAAACAGAGGTGTGGATACACAGGTTTTGTTTTGACTTCAATATTTGATAATGGTTTAAATGATAAAATTATGGTCTGGTTTGATGAGCTAGTATGTGATTTCATTGGGTGGCATTTGGTAATTTGGTTATTCCAGAAAATTTTGATCGTAAAGAAATATGGATTAGGTTTCAAACATGCACTGATGCACAGTAGGGTCAAAATTTTGGGTTAAGTAATTATGGCTGCGATAATCCATCGCACTGGAATATCAATGTTTTTGCTTTTATTGATGTCGAGAGCAGGTACTTGCAGGATCAGCTATTAGCTCAATATAAAGGAGTGGCTACTTCGATGTATGTAAGATATAAGGTGGTATCGCAACCAAAGTTGCTACTACATATAATTTTTGATCAAAATCAAAACAACAGGGCTTTTAGGGTCCAACCTTTTGGGGTCAGGAGAGATTCAATGGGATTATATAGGTTCCTTTTGAAGAAAATAATGACATCCAAAGTATGGAACTGTTACCATTTGCACTATAATGATATGAGATTACGGTATTTTACAGGAGTGTGGCTTTCAAGCATCTGTGGACAGAGTTTCTATTTTCTACACAATCGAACTATAATAGGGTTTAAATATCTTTTCTTTCCCGGCATAGTGGGATCGTTCTGTTTGAATTTTCAAACATCAGCGGACAATAAGTTTCAAATTGTTACAGCTATTATCTGGAGTCCAAAGAATTTGTGAATGGGCTCTACGGAGTATTTTTACAAAGTTAGATTTATGAGTATTTTGAGTTGGAATTGTAGGGGTGCTGGTGGTTCGGATATAGTTCAACGTATTAGGAATTTACGACGTCAGTATTTTCCCGACTTTCTATTTCTTATGGAAACTAAGCAAAAGGTCGCTTATATGGATGTTCTAAAATCAAGCCTGGGATATGATTGTTTGCACACAGTGGAGCCTATTGGCCGGAGTGGTGGCTTAGCTTTAATGTGTAAAGGTTGTTACGTAGTTGAAATTTTGTATAGTGATAATAGAATTATTGATCTCAAAATGACAATGGGGTCCATGGTTTTTTTTTCTCTCATGTGTATATGGGGATCCAGTAAGAGGACGGAGACGTTATGTTTGGGAGAAATTAACAGACATTGGTGTGGTTAGAGATGAGGCATGGATTTTGGTTGGAGATTTTAATGAGCTAATGCATAATGGTGAAAAATTGGGAGGGGCTATTAGAGATGAATCCACGTTTTTTGATTTCCGGAACATGGCTGAAGCATGTAAAATTAGAGAGATGAGGAGTACGGGAAATGCTCTTTCATGGGCAGGTATGAGGGATCACAACTGGGTACAATGTCGATTGGATAGGAGTTTTGGTAATGACGATTGGTTCAGACTTTTTCCCCAATCGTCTACTGATTATATGAGTATGTGGCCTTCTGATCATCGACCTATACGAATAGAGTTCGCACTAGAACCTGAAAATTTACAAAGAGGTCGATTTTATTTTGATAAACGTATGCATGGAAAGAGAGGGGTGGAAGAGGCCATTGTTCGTGGATGGGATGTAGAAAATATTAACTCAAATTTAAGTGTTCTTGATCGTATTGCTCGATGCCGGCCGGAGCTTGCTAAGCTTAAAAAGACCAATGACTGGAATTCAAAATCAAGAATCGAACGATTACAGACTGATTTGGACAAAGAGAGCTCAAAGCAATTCCCAGTTTATAGTTTTGTAAGGAGACTGCGACAGGAATTGGCTACGGCTTATAGGGAAGAAGAGATTTTTTGGAGGCAGAAAAGTCGAGAAGAATGGTTACGGGAAGGAGACAGGAATACAACTTACTTTCATAATGTGGTTAAAGGGAAAAAAATACGAAATAAAATCTTAATGCTTGAAGATATTTTTGGTAATGAACATTTTTCTGAAGGGTCCAAAGGTCATATTGCTACTGAGTATTTCAGAGATTTGTTTACAAGCTCAAACCCAAGAGATTTGGAAAATCTGTTTGAAGGATTTGATACTAGGGTTACTTCAGAAATGAACGCAATGTTAATCAGAGAGGTATCACCCGATGAAATTAAAAAAGCAGCCTTTGGTATCAAAAGTAGTAGCGCCCCCGGCGAAGATGGTCTTACTGGTTATTTTTACCAGAAATATTGGCACATTGTGGGACAGAAAATTATTGGTGATGTTCAAGATTTTTTTAAAACAGCCATACTCCCTGTTGGTTGGAACCATACACAGTTATTTTTATTACCCAAAATTTTACATCCAACGGAGATGAAGGATATGCGTCCAATTAGTCTTTGCACTGTACAATACAAAATCATTTCTCGCATTCTTTGTGATAGAATGAAAGCGATTCTACCAAACATAATTTCGGATACTCAGGGAGCTTTTGTTGGAGGCAGGCTAATTACAGATAATGTTATTATAGCACATGAACTGGTGCATGGCCTGCGCACCAATGATAAAATTGGTAAAGAAAGTATGGCTATTAAGACAGATATGTCCAAAGCCTATGATCGGGTTGAATGAAATTTTCTTGAAATTCTACTTGAAAAAATGGGTTTTTATCGGAAATGGGTTGTTTGGATTATGTCATGCATCACCACTGTCACCTTTTCAGTGTTACTAAATGGACGATCTCATGGATTTATTAAACCTGAGAGAGGAATACGTCAGGGTGATACTTTATCCCCTTTTTATTCATCTTATGTGCTGAAGCTTTGGTTCATTTGTTAAACAGAGCTGAAGCACATGGGAAATTACATGGTATAAAGCTAGCTAAAGATAGTCCTTCAGTCCATCATTTGATTTTTGCGGATGATAGCTTGCTCTTATGTGAAGCCTCTATCAAGGATAGTGTAGAAATTTTGGATTGTCTAAAAGTGTATGGGGAGGCTTCTGGACAAATGATTAATCCTTTGAAGTCCTCTATCATTTTTGGGAAAAACGTAGCCGAAGATACAAAAGAAAATATAAAAAGCTTCTTGGGTATTGACAAGGAAGGTGGTGAAGGTTCATACCTCGGTCTTCCTGAATGTTTTCAGGGATCAAGAATAGATCTTTTAAATTTTATCAAAGAGAAACTAGAAGGCAGACTACAGAGTTGGTACTCCAAAACTTTATCAATGGGGGCCAAGGAAGTTTTGATAAAATCGGTAGCTTTGGCTCTCCCAATATATGCAATGTCAGTCTTCCGGTTACCAAAAGGTCTTTGTGAACGACTCACGAGTGCGATTATTGAGTTTTGGTGGAGTAGTGGGGACAAAAAAAGGAAGATCCCCTGGGTTTCCTGGGAAAAATTGTGTAAACCCAAAGAACATGGTGATCTTGGGTTTCATGACATTGGCCGTTTCAATCAGGCTTTGCTTGGTAAACAAGCTTGGCGAATCTGGAATAATCCTGATTCTTTGGTCTCTCGGATTTTGAAAGGCAAACATTTTAAAAATGGAAATTTTCTGGAGTGTGGTATGGGGACACGTCCATCATATGCATGGCGGAGTATCATGCATGGTAGAGAATTATTAAAACATGGTTTATACCGACATATTGGCAATGGGGTTAATACCAATGTTTGGGCTGAAAATTGGATTATTGACACTATTCCTCGACCACCAATGTACCGGGAGAATAGTTCCATAAATCTAGCGCTAAAAGTTTCAGACTTATTTGTGCAGGGATTGAACCAGTGGGATATTAATTTATTAAATCAAACTTTTACGGCACAAGATGTTCAAAGGATCTTACTTCTAAAACCATCATTGTTACTTGAAGATACAATCAGATGGGGTTTCACAACAAGTGGCTCATATTCGACTTGAAGTGGGTATAAATTGTTAGAGGCTTTGGTCGACTTTGATCATCCTCCAGAGCACTCTCTCACTTCTCTTGAAAAACAATTATGGAAAGAATTATGGAAGGTTAAAGCCCCACCAAAAATAAAACATTTTATGTGGCGCGCTCTATCTGGTGCTTTAGCGGTAAAACAACGATTGAATACTCGGGGGATTCCGGTGGACCCAACATGTTCAGTATGTGGTAATGCGGCAGAAAGTATATGTCACGTTCTCTTTACATGTTCGAAAGCACGTGCTACTTGGGAACAAGCTAATTTCCCCATACCTTTAGGTGGTGTCTCTCGGAATTCAACATTTTTAAATTTTGTGCATCTTATCATGATTGTCAAAAAATCAACCACGGATATCCATACAAGGAATTTTTTCCCTTGGTTGTTATGGGAAATTTGGAAAGCTAGAAATGCCTTTGTTTTTGAAACCAAAGATATGGAGGCTTCTTTTATTGCTAAGAAACCCTATGAAGAGGAATCAACATGGTTTGATACATTTTCAGGAGCAAAGGATAATGTTTCAGAGGTTCCTTCTGTAATGATTCGATGGCAAAAACCACCCAAGGGTTTCTTCAAATGTAATGTTGGTTCCTCTTGGTTAAACTCTAACCGTCATAGTGGTGCTTCATGGATCTTACGAGATGAAAATGGGTGTACAGTGATGCATAGCCGTTGGTCTTTTTCTTATATGCGCACAAAGACAGAGGCTGATTTGTGGTCTCTTTTTTGGGCGGTGGAATGTGTCCACAATCTGCATTTCTCGAATATCATTTTCGAGACTTCCTCTGAGACCCTCCAGGACGCACTCACACATCCAAATGACCATCTCATTTTCAGCCATATTCGTCACAATATTTCTTTCCTC